CGCATATCTAATTCACCATATTTAGATATGTTATACTTTCTTTGTAATGGAAAAGTCAACGTGTAATTAAGATACGTTTTTGCATTAGCTACCTACGCACAATTGTGTAAAAAGTGTTACCAGTTTTTTCAGTTTTTATCACTGGCAACTAAACCTTTGTAATCTTTGCAAGCCTTGACCTAATCTGACTGTTTTCCAGGCCGTTTTACATAAGAGAAAAAGTCGGTCGCCTCAGGGAAAGTAACTAACTGCCATAAATATTGATGATCCATATTTTTTACACAAAGACTCGTTGAGAGCTGAACATAAACTGACTATACAATTTGTTTACAACAAGCCTCTGTAAATACCTTCATGTTCTTATGAAAAACAATGATATTTCTTTATTAAGCCAAGGCTATGAAAAAGGAAAATCATGGTTAAACAATGAATTTTGTGAAGAAAAGGATTTCCCATTCTTAGTGCATTTCCTTCCTTCCTTTAGACGTAGAAATCGTCCTTAGACTTATTGTTAAGAAATAAATAAGGTTAACCTCATTTGCCACACGATTTAGAAGCCACTTCCACTCAATTGCTCGATCATAAAGAGCTCACTATAAAATCCTACAAAGAACCCCGTTCACTGCAACTTTATTTTACAGCTGTATTTAATTGGAATTCAAGATTACTTCTCAGAGAAATGATGTGTTTTACTGCATATTTCCTGTCGTATTCTAACCATAGAAAGGGAGGAAATTTAAAAGTTTAATACCTCAGTGGATCATAATAAGCAATAGTGATAACCAACGCCACTTCCCTATGCAGTATTTTTCCTCATTTACGTCAAATTATGCATAAAATTGTCCGCTAATGTTACCTTTATATAGCTACTCAAGTGCTCATGTCAAGTGCCATTAGTTTCGACTTCCCTCATATCTAACAACATGGCATTCTGATAACAGGTAAATTATATTGTTCAGAGCAATTTTAAAATAAGTGCTGACACAAGCCTTGTTATAAAACCTACACCATTATCTTTATTGTGTACACGTAGTTAATTACACACCCGATCTGTGGATTCGTTTATTTAGAGTTACGCATTCTTAACGAGGAAAATCTTATTAGGTTACATGTTAGACTACAATGAATAAACTGCTTCCGTGTGAAATAAATATTAATATGGATACGCTAATAACTGTCTAGTGACTTAAGTAGTTTCATGTCCGCGTGTTGGTTTAAAAATTCGTGATTAGACACTATTTAGCAGAATAACAGTTTGTAGGCGCGAGTGGACCGCGTGGCCGAGTAACCGATTTGGAGCGTTTGCAACATGTTACCAAAAGATAAAAAGAAATATAAACGAGTTCAACAAATTCGGGGAAGTAGCGGAACGTTATTACGGTTTTTGAGTGACGATGGCATTGCCCTGCGCAGGATATTGAGCTGCGCCGACGCTACATGCGCAAATCGCATCATAGCATCCTGCAGCTGACAAACAGACTTTGTTATAGTGATATTATGTCACTCAATCATTAATGTTGTCTTGAAATGCACGCTTTTAAAATTCGAACCTATCACTATTTAATAAATAAAAGTCACAATATCTACTTTTAATTACGTTCTAGCTTCTAACGGCTCAATGTCTACGGAATTGCTCACTTTCAGCGGAATTAACGATATTGTACGAAAATAACTGTATTGACGTGCAATTTAGAGTGATAAAAATACTCAGTCGGTGGAGTAAACGCGTGGTGTGACGCAACCGGCGTCTAGGAAACGGCGTGAGACATCATCACTAACGCGGTTCACATAATGGGGGAAATTAGCCATTAGACTCGGTCTATTTAGGTATAGGTAGACACTATTGTGCAGACAGCTAGACTGTTAAATTATCTTTTACACAATACATTTCACATTCAACATTTGAGCAGTACATATATTGATCTGTCTGACATTAGTATATTACTTACCTATACATTTTGAAATACTTCTTACAACAGTCACATGTTTAAGTGTTCAATGCACGTGGTAGGTAATTAAAGTTAATACCTAAATGGATATTATTAACCAATTATTAACGAGTTAATGGTTGTCATTAACTATTGATACAACAATCTTTTATTCATCATGACGATTAAAATTATATGTAGATACCTATCTGTACCTGTGTATATATTCTACAAGTTTTCAAAGAAGCATGTTTTTATCCATCCATGATGGTTTTATTATGGAAATATAGAAGTCCCGTAACCTTTAATGTTCGAGACTTCGACGAAATGAAACAGTTACTAAACACAACCCAAGAAGATAAGGTATCATCTTTCGTTTATAGCGATATAATCAAGTTACTTACATAAGTTCAAAAACACCGATTTACCGCTAAAATAAAATCATAAGTGTTTAATACCTTACTCCAAAACGGTTGATTAGTCATTGCTTTCTCGATACACTCACTTCGAGAGTATCTCAAGAGAAATAACCTCATATTTTTTGTCTGTCAAACGTTCGAGTGATGAATGATCTCATATCTGGGTCACTGGTCGAAAGCCAGGATCAGATGTGACAGCCCAATTAACACTGCGCTTTGAATTCTGTACAAATAGATATGTATAATGTTTATGTGTACATAACCTAACTCGGTGACGGTTTTATGACTTTGTAACGGTAAATCTAATCGCGTTTTGTTATCTGATATAAAACAAAGGGTCCGGGAAATGGAAGGTTTGTTTATTTTTTATCGAATCGACTGGGTAATTGACTAGAAAGCTGTTTCGGTTTCTTTATGTAGTATTTTTAATGTATGTAGTCATTAGTACGTATATGTGTTTTTGGGTGTCTATCAGGACGAGGAAATTGATAATCTATTTGTTAAAATGAACTGAATTTACCACTGAACTGATAAATATGTCTTTCCTACGAAACTTTTCAAAATATTGATAAGTGAAGCATTAGGTATCTGTGTAGAACTTTGGATTTTAAAAATAAGATGTATCTAATCTAATCAAGCGGTTGTTTTTGATTATATTTTGCAACACGACTTTGGTTTATTTATCTTATCCGTTGCTGTCCTTCAGTGACGAAACGTATGAGTGTAACTTGATCGACTGTCTTGGTTTGGAGTACCTACCTACTACTTAAGGACCAGACTTATTTTTGTTTTTAGTATTTGTAAATTCTTATTAGAAAACTTTCAACAAGGATTTATCATTAGCTACCTACCTACTTACCAAATAATTATTTTCGTTTTAGTCTTAACATTAGAGAATAGTTTGTACCTTAATTCAGCGATGAATAGCAAAAATTTTAATGAAACCAATTTTTTCGACATACCTATTGATGTGAACTAAGCAGTAAATAAATAATTACCTATATACCTATCAACAAATTTGCGGATGTGACGTAGCACAACCACATGGATGATTAATATATATGTATAGGTCTAACAACTACAAGTAGGTAGTCACTTTGTTATCGTTATGACTGAAACCCGAAAGAATCTGAAAATTCAACGTTAATATTTGAACAATTACTGTACTGCGTCACTGCACCATTGAAGGTGAATCATTGCCATTATCCAGAAACTCCAACGTTGATTAGAGCCTGCTTTTGTTGTCACAGATATAGTAAATGAAAAGTATTTATTATGAGTAGAAACTGTGTTCTGATGTTGTGGCTAATGTTTTATGTTTAGATGCGTGCTGACACGCGAGTGCGAGGCGTGGTGCGTCGGCAAACGCATTGATATCGCTGAGCCTGCGCTCGGCAGGAGTTACAAAGGGCCCATCGGCCATTGCCCTCGCATTGCAAAGGATCCTTTTTATGACTCCCTCGTTTTGAATTACTTTCTGACACAAGTATCGACGTCGAACGGTCGTAATAAATAGAATTCCTTGCATACTTTCAACTATTACTTAACTTCTCATACTGAGTTAGTATAACAGTTTTTAAAACGGGAATCCTTTAGTAGAATCACCTTCATATCATAATACATATACCTACGTATTTCTATTCTCTCTTTAAGATCGTCTAGTACATGCACATTATTGTCTTTTATCTTCAAAGTGCTCTTATTGCGTATTGTTAATGACATAATCAATAGACATTATCTGTTAATTAGCAAGTGAATCGTTTATACGTAATACTTAGGTAAATTCTAGTTTATTACAAAGAAATTTATTGGGCAATCATCAAATGCCTTTTGGTAGATATTATTAGGCTATGAGTTGTTATTTCCCGTCGTATTAGTTTTCTCCTGTTGATTCATTTAACACGTGCTTAATATAAACTGATTCGATATGGGACACGTAAGTAAACGCATCCCAGTTACTCATCGCTTTGCTTTTAAGCAGTTCCTTTGTTTATAATAAACATTTATAGCCCTCATAAGACGAGGTAGTGCCCTCTTTAAGCGTCCACAGTTTACTCGAACCATTAGGATAGTATAAATTAACGACGATACTTTATCTTGGAATTAGGCGGATGAACTGCGATGAACGGTTCAGATCTGGGTGTCCGGTCTTTGAACCCGAGAGCGGGATGCCGAGATTGTTTAATGACAACAAATAAACCATCGGTGCACAGCTGTCGGTCGGCTGTCGGGTTGCACGCGAGACATCGGCAGGGCCCCCCTTATTATACCGAAGGGTCGGCAGGTAGTCAACTCGATGGATGTTGTATTTATCTGCCTTAACATTCTTTATTATAAATACATTTTCGAATAAAGCTGGAAGGTCGTAGCTAGACGCGTTTTACTTGATCGCTGACAATGTGTTCTGCGTTTCGACATTCTATAAGTAGTTTTGAAAAAAAACCTATCTGTGATCTCATTGAAATTTAAATAAAGTGTACCTAACTATCTGATTACTGTAATTACGCAATACCGACAGTCGCTAACCGTACAATGTTTTGCCAAGTGAATGTATAGTTAGGTGATAGTGTCCAATGCAGGACTTTCGCTGATGAGAGCGGCGCAGGCGGCGCTACAGAGGAGGTTGCATGTAGTATGGTGTGCAGGTGCTCACCTATATGCGCCAGGTCGATGATGGGGATTGCGCACCGCGAGAGCAGGCTCTCCTCCTGCTGGGCCGCCATTGTCGTCGCTGGATACAACAGCTCTGATTCCCGCACGCCGAACGCTCGTTCAGTCAACACTCCTTATCACTCGACTTCCACAGTAATTAGCAATTAGCGAACGCGACACCGAAAGATAATTTAAGGTAGAGAAACGATAGATAAGCACTTATACACCGTAAGGTACAACGTAAACGTTAAAGTTTATTGAAGTTGTGAATGGTCTTTTGATTATTCCTGGTATAGAAGCGTTCAGAACTCATTTGCATAACCTTGTAGTTCTTGCTCGAGGCGTTCAGCGATCTGACGTAGCAGCAATAAGCTATACTGACTTGACACATTAAAAATTGGTTTCCGTTGCTTCTCTCAGAGTAAGTAAGTATGTGTTAAGGTTGGTCCCGCGTGTACGACCGACGGCGTCGCGCGCCCCCCGTCCCTCACAGCTGGCGAGTTTCGAATGTCTCTCGTCGAACAAACTGGCTCACCGTGTGCGATGAGCGTTACCCTGGCGTCCGATGTCGGCTCTCACTTGTATATCATCGCGCACACTTTCGCAACCGAGTGCCGTGTCGAAACAGCTCTGCCTTGAGCACGCTGCCGTGTGGAGAAAGCGTACTGAGTGACGGGTGTGCGCGAGTGGCTCGGCGTTCAGAGTAACACTGGCGACTGGCCGCTCGGGCGCTGCTACGGAGCTCACTCGGCGCGACTGACTCACGCGGCCGGCCCTTGATCGCGGCTCACTTCGCGCCACTCTGCCACGGCGCCGTTGCCCTGTGTTGGCGCCTCGAACCGACTATAACCTCGTCTCACGACCCATTCACTCGCCTGTCTCGTAGTAAACGTGGGTTGTTGCCACCTGTACAAGCTAATTTGTGTCTTATGTGACACTCATAGGGTTCACACATAGGAATCTCGACTGGTATATGGCTTTGTCTACCAGGTAACATAATTATGAACATCAGTTAGTTCAAGGATTAAGGAAATAGTTGTATTGTCATCCTAAAGATTTGATAATTTATTTTTGGAGTAATTGTTATTAGAAACCAGCAAGTGACGCCATCTACGTGTGCATTTAATATTAGTATTATAAGCGCCATCTACACGCAAACTTACAAACTAAAATAAAAAATCGAATTAATTTAGTGGCTTATAATTTAAAATTCTACGAGACTGAGCCGTTAACAGGCACATCCGCATGAATATAATAAAAAAGAAAATATTAATAGTTAAATTAATAATGTATAAAAATAGGATGAACTCTTTCAAATACAAATAAATGAAATTGACATTGTAAATACGCCAATCCCCACTTTTTGTTTTTGTTGAATAAATAATCAAATACTTTAATTTAAAGTGAGATTGTTTTATTTATATAGGGTTGGTAGCATTAATTTACAGTTGTGTTGCGATTTCATTTGAGGCATCTCTCGAAGTAGGAGGAGCCGACGTACCCTCCTCGCATCGCTCTCTGCACGTGCTGTTCAAACAACCTCCTGTTACTTTGCAGTTCGTCTGCGGCCTCTTTGTTTAGAGGGTCCTCGGGATTTGGTTCCTACAAAAAAAACACAAATAATATGTTTAGTCAAGTTGAAAAAAGCACATAAGTTCGGCGTTCTATGGCTGAGTTAGAAACAGCTTTATTGCAAAAAGTTAAAAGTACAAAAGATATCCACGACTTAGTGTTGATGTCGGGATCAGAATTCTACCTGAACAGCGTTTTTTCTATTTGAAAATCTTTGCCATTGTTGCGAAGGCTGTAACTAGAACGAATGACATTTTTAAGAATGGGGGTACCTAAATGTAATTTACAATTACTTATTTCACTACATTACTCTATATATCCTTTCGAAACACAATAGGTATTATATTATGATTTGTAACTTAACTATGATAAGCTAAGAATGAAAAAATAACAGTCTTTTATAAGTTTTAGGGTCTTTTTCTACATTTTCATTTAAGCCTGATAACTTATGTGGCTGATAAGTTCGTATGTATCTATCTATACGCATAGGAAACAGGGTCTCAACTAGATGTGATAAAACAGGTATGAGAAAGCATAGGATGTTAATGTACTTTTAGGAGTTGCACGGGGGCAATCCTAAATTTCGCCACTATTTAATAGATGTAATACTTATAAACTTTACTCTTTAATCACTATATCTATTAAAAAACGCATCATAATTGCGTAGTTTTAAATATCTAAAGCATTATGGGATGTAGAATGGAAAGGACATAGAAAGCGACATTGTTTTATACTATGTAGTGACTTTCATGGCCCTATATTCCTATGTAAGAATGCTTAAATTTTTACTACACAACGGACTTTGATGCGTTTTTTAAAAGTGTGATTGAATAGGAAGCCTATATGTATATTAACATTCATTAAATTGTGGAGAAATATAGTATTAGCATTGCACCCGTTTGAAGCCAGGGCAGGATGCTTATAACTTATATTCCACAGATAATCTAAAGTTACATTAATCCTTTTTATTTCATTGAAATGGATTCAAGGTGATTTTCTGTCTAATTTGAATCCTGTAAATTTATACATGACATCAGTTAACAATAATAGCTTATAGAGTGCCATTGAGAACTTATCAGCACTCAAAGTGATTAGTCATTGTCTTTTATCAATGTCCAATTTATTCTAGAATTATGTCTTAATTTATAAATAACATATACCTACTAAAGCTGAAGGAAGGTACCAGTATTAACCAAAAATGTAACACATCTGAATTTAACCCTTGTAATAATAATATCCTTCAAGAATTTTTAGATTTCTTATGAAATGTTATGCAAGTATACTATATTTTTGTATTAACATTATAAATGGGAAATAATGTGTTTAATGTTGCATCATTTGCAATTGAATATTCTAGTCAGTCAAAACTAATTATTATGACTGTAACACAATAAAATTTCTAAAATAATCTTTAATTAACACATTCAGTGCTCCCGACGCGTATGTGCGTTTCCTTACGCTACTCTGTGTGCCCTCGGCGCACCTGTGCGTTCTATACATTAATTGTTTTAACAATGTTCTTAACTTGCATCTCCATTTTTATACATCTTATAAGAAATAAGTATGCCATTTGACATACATAAATACCATATCCATATCTATTAGACATCCGAATTTATTATAGAATACAATACAACATACAAGATACATAGAAAGATGAAACAATATTTTTTTTTGTGAATGAAAATAGGCCATAAAACACTACTTTTCCATGTCAACATTGTATATAAAAATTTTGATAAAAAGCATTTCCCATCTGGCTACTGAAACGAGATGCTGAACCAACAGTTAAAGGTAAAAGTAAAAGTACTTCATGTTGCAGACATACAGACAGATTTATGAATGGTCAACCATCGATAATTCTGATTTTTCTGGAAGTATCCTACAAACTTTTGCGTTTAAGCACAGTATAGTAGAATTTTTGTGTCTTAGGAGGTGGAAAAGTGATTGATTTAAATCTGTGAGAGTCACCTTGTTGTGTTATACTTTAGAAATAATTTACACAAACATACCAAGAATAAATACTGGAGTCCATAAACTATAGAGTTGACAGTAAGCACAGGTTTCCAGTCTTCTCTTAAGATGTTCAGACAAACATTGCCCTCCAAATCTATGTTTGGATGGTATACTGCTGTTTCACACTTCACTTTCGGGGGCTCATGAGGATAGTTTGGTCCTACCTGTAATACCAATACACACATATGTAGCAGGAAAATATATACAAACCAATAGCAGTTTTGAAATATTAGGGAAACATGTCTTGTAACCACTAATTTTACATACTTAATTTTACATAAAATTACTTATTGTAAAATTACTTTAATTTTACATAAAATTTTATATTAGTACAACACTGCCATATAGCTAGGTTATTATTAAAAAAGAGATCTTAATATATAGCACAAACAAAACAATCAAAATTGTCAGGGCAACAATATAATAATGTCTCTGGACATTACAAACATTTGAACTTTAGGCAAATGTATACACATACAAAATAATAGCTTTTTGTTGATCTAAATATAAGTCATTTTTGTGCATTGAAGTCTATCTACAACTTTTAACACAAAACAACCATAAAACATAACTTTTCTTACAATACTTGATTAAGTGTTTCATGTTTTTGAAGATTACATATAATTTGTTACAGACTAGTGATTTATTGTGGGATTACATTACCTTAAAACTAAATATGAATCTCCCTCCTCTATAGAATCCTTCATCAGGGCATATGATTAGTTTGAAATTGAGTAAGTCATCTGGATCTGGAAACTCTGTATTGCATGTCTTGGGCAAATTCAATTCATTCAAATCTGAAATTGAAAAAGCAGTTATTAGGCCAGTAGTGCTGTAAACAATATATTTAACTAGCACAGTAATACACTTACTCGAACTTGCAAATAAGAAATTGGTGTTTAACGTGCACGAATCTACCCCCTAACATCAACGTAAAGCTAACTCTAAGTAGGTTATTTGGACTTTTTGCATAGCAAATGCTCATAAAATTATTATACTAACAATGAGTACACAACGCTTATATTTGTTAATATTTCTGAACATTACCTTTTGTAATCCTCAATTGAGCGGCTGAAGCTTTTTTCTGTGAACCTCCTGCTCTTGCTGAGCCTTCCTCATCTTTCTTTTGTTGTTTTAATGAAAAAAGTTTAATCATTGTCCTAACTAATCGATAAAATAGAAATTATTAGAAATAAAACCACGATCTATTTTGACAGCTTAAATTTTTGTACGAAACTTCAATCAATTTAGTCAGATTGCAATTTGTAAATAAAATAATCGGCTCTTTTATTTTATTGGCAAACCTAACAAAAAGAAAAAATAGTAACCAATCACCAACCAGTAAACCAAGAAATTAGTGACATTCTGACAGTAAACGTGGATATAATATCAACTAAAAAAATTTTTTTTATCCAAGTTTTACAGTGAAAATAAATATAAATATATATATTGTTATCTACAAAATTGTACTTTTTTATCAATACAAACATATCTTCAATATTTGCCACAAAGCATGCATATGGGTTTCATAGCTAGCTAACCAGTTTTTAGATTTTTAACTAACAAAAATATTAAAAAAAAGATGCTTCCTTAATAATTAATAAGTGCACGCTTTTCTACTATAATATCAAACAGAAGCTTTATTTCGATAAAACTATGGCAACGTCGGCTACAAAGCTCTTCATCTATGGATTGGATTCAATGATGGCAGCCCTGCAGCCCTCAAAACTGTCAAATGTTATTCGTTTTCTAATGTGTTGAGTGTCGCTGGAAGACAATATATTATTTTCGACTTAGTGTGAACTGGAAACCAATTGTAAACAATAATTAAGCGCAACGTACTAATTTATATCTTATGCTATGTTTTCTAATGTGGAATATTGAATCTTCTTTGGATAAACAAACTGAAGCAGGATGGCAAGTGAAGATGTGATAGAATTAGGGTCTTCGGACGATGACACTGAACCGGCTCCGAAAAAGGTACTAATATATATTTATTATATTTATTTTATTCACGTAAAACGCAATCGGTGCGTATTCAACTTGTTTTATACATGGTTGAACCCTTAAATATTTGTATGAATGTGAAGTAATATATTTTGTTTCAGAGTAAACCAAAGCCAGATGCAATGGTGTGCATACCAAGATACAAGTTAAACGAGGTCACAATAAAGCCTCCTAGTGCTAAAGTTAAAGTAATTGCAGGACCAGGTAAATCTGGGCTCTCAACAAAGAATGATCCTATTTTAAAAGTGTTATCTGCAACAGAAGGTGTCACCATTTCCAAGGCAACAACTTCGCCCCTTAGGCTACCCACTGACCCAACTTCATTGAAACGATTACCAATAGCACAAAATATATTTCCGCCAAAACAAATCATCACACCAAAATCATCAGTTGTACTAAAAGCGCCAACACCTTTTGCAAAGAAAAAAACAACTATAACAAGAGTCCCAACTTTGTTAACTAATCCATTTGCTAATGTAAATAAACACAATGGTAAACCTGTGCACAAAGTGATTTCCAAACCACTTTTAAATTTACCTAAAAGTCTTAAAATTCAATATGCTTCAGCTTCACAAAACAAATTTACAGCTTTACCACACAATCCAATAAAAATTTCCAATTCTTCTCCTGTAATTTTAAATACTATCCATCAACCAACCAATCAAATTAATTTACCACCTAGTATAACTGTTAAGAGAACTTCTAAGCAAACTTATAAACCAGTGGTTTATATGAAACGCAATACAAATGCTACCGACATAAAACAAGCAAATGTCCCTACAGTTGAATTAGATGATGATGAAATATCTGTCAATGAACCAGCTGCCCCTGGCCCTGCATGGTATTTGAGACCAGAGGAACAAGAAGAAATTTCTACATTAGAAGAAGAGAATAACAAAGAGCCAGAAGGTTCTAAGATGATTGAAATCACCATAGAAGATAGTCCAATTAAACCGGTGACAAATAAAAGAACTTGTGAAGTTGGTACTGAACTGGCCATCACAATTGATGACAGCCCTATCAAAGCAGTAGCTGATAAGAATGGATCTCTCAGTGAAAGTGATGAAGAATGTGTTACTCCAAAATCTCCTCCTAACAGTAAAAAGAAATTGGAATATCCCAAAGAAGATGAATCAAGAGAGAAAACTTTAGAAATAGAAATTGAAATACCCATTGGTGAAGGATTAGAATTGGACACAAAGAGTGTGGATAAAGATGGCAATAATGATATTCCTAAGGCTAGTGTGGCAGAACAGACAGAGTCTACAGAAAAAAATGATTCTAGTAAAGCTGATACAAATTCTAAAGAAGCTACTAAAGAGCCTAGTATTAGTGCCCAGAGTGAATTTCATCCTGTATACCAGAACTTTATAGATGTCTGTTTTCAATTGGAAAATTCTGATGATATGAATAAAATAGTAGAGAAGAAAATTAAAGGCTATTATAGACAGGTTCCGAAGGAGTACACGGAATCTGAGGAGTTCATTGACATGGTTAGAAGTAAAGTAGTTGCAATGAAGGCTAGCCCTGAAAAGATGTATTTGTATATAAAAGATGTTGTTGATGAACTAAATATGCAGAGAAAAAGAGCTAAAGCACAACCACAAGTGGTGAATTTGGAGACAGTACCTGAAGGTAAATATGCTTAGGAAATCTGACTTCATTTTATTGGTGTCTCTAGTTTTTCTTATTCTTTTTTGAGCCTAATAAGATTGTAATTGGCATAAGATTATTGTGAGCAAATGTAAGGAAACAGTGATGTTCCACTTGAAACTTTCACATTGGTTTTTTTTGGCTTTAAAGAGGCAATCTATAAACCCTTTTAATGGTGCTTTGTACAGCGTAACATCTGACTTAAATGCATTTTGTGTAATTATGTTCAGTCCTTCTATTTGTAATTTTGTTTTTTTCAGAGTCAGATCAGTTTCAGTTTGGAGAAGAAAATGAATATGATTCAAAACGTCAAAGGCAGATACGTAAACTGGAGAAGACTATAAAGAAACTGCACAGAGCCATCCAGAAATTGGAAGAGCATGAGGTTGATTTTGATGATGAGGATGATTCGGTTTATTTATTGACTGAAAGGTATTGTAAAATAAATTTACTTGCTTTCTAGTACATATTACATAGGGATGATGATAGGGTAAAAATTAATATTACTGCATAATCCATCAGGAAGATTATTTAAAAATTAAGGTGAATCACAGACACCACCATTTGATACATATAAAATGTCTGGTTTGTGATGCTACATGATATTTAAGATCAATATAATCAAGGTAATTATTTGAGTAGAAAAACATATGATTTATGATGTGTAGTGTTTTTTAATCTAGATAATGGACATTAAAATAAAGATTAGTAATCTACTATAAATTTCTAGTTTCTAAGATAAAATGAAAAGGATATGCTTAACAATAAAAGGAAAACGAGAACTACTACTTGAGCGGCTATCTCTGCAAGCTTCAATGCAAATTCCATCTCGTTACTTGCTTGTTCTCAGCTTGCACCCGCGTCCCTGTTTCGAGGTCTCTTTGATTGCGAAAATGGTTGTTTTATCTAAGATTCTCAATGACTTATTCATCAAACCCCAAGCAAACGCAGGCCTTCGCGCACATATTGTTTGTCTAATGATTGAAAGGTTAAAGTTTATATTTACATTTTCAGGTATAAAGAAAGGATGGTACGTGTTTACGCGAAATTCTGTCAATTGACGAACACAAAAATGCCTTCTGAGCCCCGTATTACAGTGGAATCGAGGCCAGGCCAACCGGCAGGCCCGGCTAAACGACTTGAGAAGTGGGTAAACAAAAAGGTACCTATTGGTACTCCACTGCCATTCCCAGATTTCCATGATGTACTCCGATGTGTTAGAGAAGCTAACGAGGAAGATAAACTGTGTTGGAGTGAGGCACAGATTATGGAAGAGGGTGAGTGTCTTCAGTGTGTTAAATAAAATGAATTTACTTTAACTTATTTGAAAAAGGAGGTTTTTTACAATCAGTCTAGTAATTACATATCACCACTCTAAAATTCCCGAGGAGTCATGTAGAATTGTAGATGTATGTGCAAACATACTACACTAAAACCTATAACATTATTAGAAAATTGAAGTGCATAATTACTGTCTTTTCCTGTTGGATGTCCTTCCTGCAGACCTGTTAACAGATAAGGTCCACGAAATCATGACAAACAACAATTTACGGTGTACATTTTTGAGTTACTATAAAAATATAATAAACTTATATATTTTAAGATACGATTTTGACATTAACTACGGAAGACTAATTAATTAGTTAACTTATTCTTTACGAAACATACTACTAAATAGACGGACTTAATGCCATAGGTAGTCTGACTAGTCCATTTTTGGGTTATGTACACAGAGTATGGTAGGTGCAATAAGTAGAAAACTCTTAATTAATGTCTTTCATCGTTCGATATCATATTATTTGTGACCAGTTGGCTAAACAAACTTTAATTTTTACCAGCTCGAGACCTCTTTACAAGGTGCGGAAAGAAACTACAGCGGCGTAGACAAGAAAATGAATGGCGATTAGCGGCTTCAAGACTAACATTAGATGTAGTTGACCCGGCAGAAAATAATGAGCAACTGAGGCATCAACTAGACATGAATAGAAAAGTCGCATCCAGTAAAGAGACTGAAATATTTAATAAGTATGTGTGATTTAATTTGTATACTCATAACGGTAGATTACGTTTTTGACTTATAGTTTATTCCATAATTAGAGACAACAATTTGACAACAGCAAATGTGAAATTACAAAATAATGTGGCCAGATTTTTTCACATAGTGATGGACCCGAGTACGATGTTTCAAAATACCGATACCGTTTTTTTTATTTTTTTTTTGTATGAAAAATAGATTGCCGGTCGGTATAATTGGGATTTTCGAGTTCTTACTAGTACAGACAACAGACTAATTTTGTTAAATGGACAGACTCCATGTCAGATCCCTATCAACTGGAATGTGGAGTCAGGCAGGGGGGCTGAGCTCTCTCACATTGTTTAACATATATTATGTGAGGGAGCTGGTGCGTCAGCTCAACAATACCATTGTAGACTGCTCCATAGATGTTCATATACTTAACAACATTAGTTAAGCCGATGACATGGTGTGGTTGAGCCCATCGATGTTCCAAGTGCCCCGCGCTCCTAGAGGTGTGTGAGGCATATGCTGAAGCACATGGATTGACAAATAACGTCAAAAAAATTTGTTGTCAGTGTTTCGGACGGGGCAAATAAATGCTTCATTTGTACAGCCTGTGACACTCAATGGGGTGGCGCTAAGGCAAGCTCAGTTTGTGTACCTAGGACATGTTGTTAATGAAGACCTAACAGATGACCTAGATATAGAATGGGAACGCAGGGGGCTCATTCGCAGTAACATGCTGGCTCGCAGGTTTGCCAAATGTTCCAAGGAGTCAGAAGCCAAAATAACCGTAATGTCGGTCAATTGCACGCGGCGGGCCGTGGCTGGCCGACCGACAATTGGCCTTTCCAAAAAAGACTTGAAGACGTGTCCTTTCCAAAAAAGACTTGAAGATTATCACAAAAAATGAACTCGGACCAATATAAGAGTGGTTGAAAAGGATTTTCCGAATTAAAATAAATCTCGGTGCTAGTAATCGACAACACTCTACCACTCTAGAAAAGTTCCTATTCCCTCCTACGCAGTTCCAATTGGAATTGGTATTTAATTATAATAACAAACAAAAACTGATTATAATACAATAATGCTGTATTTGGCAGAAATATAACTTTTCATTTCAAATATCTTTTTTATCCGACATTGACTGGTTAATGTGATGCTTGAAAAAAAGTAGAAAAATAATAGAATTGCCTCCACATATCGATCACTTGTAGATGCCCCCATAAAATTGAGCTATGATTTCGCCTTTCGTCTTTATTCCATGTTTTACTTTAAATGACCCAAAACTTTAGGTTTGTGTAAAGACTGACTTTGTGATGGTCAGGTACCGGAGGCCCAATCCTTCCCCTCCCCCAATCCCTCCTAAATTCCTAAATCTCCAAATCCCTAAAAGGTCGGCAACGCACTCGTAACTCTTCGATTGCGAGTGTCCATGGGCGGCGCAGATTGCTTACCATCAGGTAATCCGTCTGCTCGTTTGCCGACCTGTTAAATAATAAAAAAAGGTACTTTACCTAAAGAAAAAATATTACAATCTGACTGACAGACATTATTTTTATAATTATACAAACCAATACCAACCTTTTTCTAGGCTTAGATTATGTTTGACATTCCATCTGTAAAATTGCTGTGAGGGAATTCCAAAGCAGACCATAGTTTCTTGTAAAATTATTATATCAATGCTAATAGGTAATAGTTATACAAATTACTTTCGGTCTTTCGGTAAATACCGGTCGCGGGACTTCACTATTTATGAAATGGAAAAAACATGCAACACTCGAAATGTCAAATCGTTGTCTCTAATTATGGAACGAACTATAAGAGTTGTTATGACATTGTATAATGATGACTAATAAGTTTCAAGAATAGCAGGATATTGAATAATATTAACATGAATTATTTTGTGTATTTCAGGTTTGCTGACCGACAGAACCAAATGAAATTGGAAGGTGAAGAAATTGGCGATAAGGAAGCTGAAGAGTCACCAGTTGAAAGTGAAGATGAAGATGCTAATGACGATGAAAGTGCTTCCTTAGAGAACAAAGGTAAAAGAAAGGAAAGATTGAAGCGATTAATAGAGGAGATATCCAAGGGGCCTAGTGAGGGAAAAGAGAATCAACCTTTAGAAAAACCTAACACTAGTCCAACAGAGGAAACTGTTAAAGGAACCGAAGTCAAAGGTGATAAAGAAGATTCTGAGACTTTGAAAAGTAAAAATATAGACAAAGACATTCAGAATGCTGAAACATTTTCAGTAAGTAGTGAAAATAGTAAAGATTTCGATTTAGAGTCAGATGTAGATGAGCTTCATTTATTGCAGAAGTTGCATAAAAGCAATGAAGATACATCCACTTTGGATTCTTCAGATTCTGATGATAGTCTTATAGCTATTTCAGACTCACTGGACTCTGATAATGATAATAAAGAATTAAGTGACGTAATTAGCATCGAAAATTCAAGCTATTCAGATAGCGAAGCTGATAAAATGAATAGTGTGCCATCTAATAACAAAGACATTGTAGAAATTAAATCAACAGATACTCAAAAACATAATGAAACTGAACCACAAAATAATGAGCTTGAACTTGTTTTTGATGATTCTGATATGAACCCCACAAATGACATGAATGTGGAATGTTCTAAGTCTGTTGAAGATAATCTTCTTGCGTCCTCAGATAATGAAAGTGGCGACAATAAGCAGGCAGAAACAGTTCCTGTAGATATTGAGATACCCAGTGAAGATGTGGACATACTGTCTACTCAAGTAGATGCACTTTCGCCTAGTGACACATGCGTGAATCTTAAAGATGATCTCATTTCAATTGACGAAACAGTTGTCGGAAATGTAGCTGTTAATCCAAAGGAAAATCAAGTTAATGAATTGCCTGTTATAGCAGTTGGAACAGAAATTAACAATAAAGACCATTTTAAAGATGGGAAAGAAAGTAGAGGTGATGTAGATACAGTATCACTAAAATTTGGAGCATCCAGTACATCTAAAGAATTACAAAAGGAGATTGTTAGTAGTACTTCTGCTGAACTTGAACTGCCGGAACCTATGGATGTTGATGAACCTCAAACAGTAGATACGGTCAAGGCCCATTCACATACAGGAAAACCTGAAGTAGCATTATAATCTAATAATAAAATTACTGAAGTGATAAAATGACTGAAGTGTTAAAGTGCGGAGTAATTATTGTTGGTGTGTGTGTGTGAATGATTAGGGGATGGAGGAAGCCAAAGAAGTATGTAATATAATCGTGGATGGTGCTCTGGAGGTACATGTATATAAAACAAACATAAAGCTCGTAAAAGTTATTTAAGTACTACAAAATAAAATATTATAATTTGTATAGCTTGTCTGTCTATCATTGGAATACTGTAGCTAAATGACATTTATGTTCAGATAAAAAATAGTTATTATACTATAAATGTTTCTGTGTTTTGCCACAACTTATGTAAGTATAATCTACGGCAAGATTTTTCGTAGTAGAGATAAGTTCGCTATTGTAAGTATGTTTATTTTCAAATTATTTCTCACTTTAACTTTCAACTTAAATTCCTTTTTTTTTATTCTTGTATATGTAAAATATTGGGAAATAATGAGGAAATACAATACGCGAACCTATCAAATTCTGTCCATGGTTAGTTTATTCCATATTGGGCTAATTTCGCTGTACGTTATAATTTGTATTTTATGTACATATGTATACATATAGAGGTTTACTACGCCAAATCGAATGTCATATGACAATGAGGACTGAATGTGGATTTCTCGCTTGGAGAGCTTGTGAAAAAAGTCTGTAGGCTTAACAGGGATGACAATAGGGTATGAGAATAAAAAGGAAAACATTAAACACGTTTTATTATTTTGTAAGGCAATTTTAGTTTATTTTTTAAATAACAAACAATTTATTATTGTTATTTTGCCATCTACCGTTTTATGACGAAATTCTATTATCATCGGGTCAAATATTACAAATCATGTAGTCAATTATTTTAGCTCCCGCTTAGCACAAAATGTACTTAGTTGTGACATCACAAGATATTTCAAACCAATGTCATAGAAAAATTTGATTCCCTAAGAAAAAATACTTGTCTAATATTTTAAATTAGTCTTTAAGACGCCGACAACGTTACAAAATCGTCATCCCTGTTGAGAGTGTGTCAGTGTCAAAGCATTTGAAAACATTTTTTGACAGTAACAGCGGTTAGACAAAGACATCACATATCCCCTCAGCTGTTGAACGGACTCCAGGTGTCTGTACACAAACTGGGAAAATAATAGCTCAACCGATTTCAAATTAGGATTAACTATACATTACAAATTGAAACTGGATCAATATTTTTTTTATGTTAGCTTATTTCTTTGCGATTCCAAATATATAAGCTTTATATAAGCTTCCATACAAAAGTTTTGAGATATTGTAATTTTAAACACACGCGCCTGTATCGCGCGGACCACCCACGAAGTGCTTACACAGATCCGCCGAATCGCGAAAAATGGCCGCCACAGCTGAGGGGATATTAGCACCATTAGAATGCCTAGTGAGTTTTCTTTACGTCGAAGCGATCGGCACGTTACCGGGTGATTCTTCACATCAATTTTAACAAAAATAATGATGCCAATACCCTCAAACCAAAATAACAATTCTGCCGATTAAAACATAAATAATGATTTTATTAAATTAAATTGAACCAATGGTTACAAGTGATTATTTAAAATATTGAATAATAAGTTGATGCTTAACAACCCGGGAGAATAATGATTTTCGAAGTATCACCCCTACCGCATTTAGCTCTCTGATTGGTTGTTTTATTTGGTGTAAGCCAATCAGAGCCATGTACAAGTTTTAATAAGTTGATGCTTAACAACCCCGGAGAATAATGATTTTCAATGAATCACCCTACCACATTTAGCTCTCTGATTGGTTGTTTAATTTGGTGTAGGCCAATCAAAGTGTCGCACGTCATAGCCTTAGCGTAAAGCAAACTCACATTCGGAACTCCAGTGACCACAACACCGACAGTCCTCATAGAAAGAGTTTTTGTACATTAGATTTATATTGTTCGGTGAATTCAAAATAGATTATTTGGCATGGCCACGCCAAGTTGAATGCTAGTTAATTTATTTTCGTTTTAATATTATTTAAGGTAACTGAAACATCTTATTATACGTTTTAAGTTGATTAAGATAGTTATGTAAATGTTACACTGTTGATTCGTGTCAATATATTTTGTAAGTTTAATTTTAACTTGATTTTGTAATAAGTTACAGCAAGTGCATCATAATCATAACAATAAATAAGTACTACTTTCAAGAAAGGGAAAGATTTTTTATTTTGTCTTATGAGATTTTTTTGTGCCATTTATTTTAAACCACCACTATTTACCAGCGGATTTGCCTGCAATATCGGGTAAAAGGTAGCGTATGTGGTTTTGATAACTTTTCTATCTCTATTCCAGTGTCCATTCGGATCCGATCAGCAGTTTAAAAAAAAAACAAAGTAAAGGTCGTCACAACATTTATTTACAATATTTACAAAGGTTCTCTCTTAAGTACATAATGTTAAAATTATCCTTATTTACATTTACATGTGTTTTTACAAACTTGTTTAAATGCAAGTGTCATGTGAAGCAAACTGGTCCGGGGGTAAACGTGAACTGATGTTCAGCGTCGACGAACGAAAGAGGCTGGAAGTCACTGATTGGCAGACGATCAGTACGGGATGTCTTTATTTCAAGCACTATTTCGCCGGTACCCTCCTGAAACGTTACAGAAAAGATGTTGCAAATTTTGAAAAAATCTTGTGCGAAAAAGATGGAAAATGTGGGTATGTGCTTTGGGGGTTAGGTCTTTTCGGTTTGAGGAGGTGGGAAGATTGGGCCTCCGGTTGTTTCTCGCTGGTTCTCTGTGAGGCCACCAATCATTCCGGTCGAGCTAACACATTTGTGCCGAAGCATTAGGTACTTTTTTCAATCAGCGCCCCCCATGGACAGACAGTTACAAGTTTTGGAGATTTAGGGACCTAGGTAATTTAATTCTCATAATAATTTAATAAAATACCTTGCACTCGTCTTTGATCAATAGAGGTTCACGGAATTCGACTGAATTGTAACCGAAGAGTTTCAAGTTGTTTTGTCTCGTCAAATCAGCGGGAATGTCGGATCTGAAACAGTATAAAGTAAGTATGCGTATTATTATGCATATCTATTTAGTTGTTTCTTTGAAAATGGTATGATTTGGGGCTTTAACAAGACGTTAATGTTATGCTATTTATGTGTTGATAAGTGCAGTCCCAAGTATTTTGTAATGTAAGAAAAATTAAACGTCATCCAACACTGAAACTGTAGGTTGTTGTTTATAAGTATATCATGTACAACTTAGTATAACAATAGCTAGCCATCTCTGTACAGAAAAAACGTTTATTTACATATTCTTCAGTTCTTCAGACTAAATTATTTCGCTGACTACAACGTTAAGGAATATCACAAGAGTTTTACCTTTGTAAAGGGGCCTGGGTGTTGACGCAAGAGTATGTGAAGTTCTGTCTCGCTCCATTTGATAATAATCGCAAGAAACGAAGCTGTATGGCGCCAGATCCTTCACCTTCGTATGTTAGCTGAAAAATGTAAGTTCATCTTATTAGTGAAAAGCTTGTTGGTATGACATTATAGAGAGTATAGTAGTATTTATTTATTGTTGCTTTTATGCTGCATAAGCTGATCTTTGTATTATAAGACCTATAGCCTCGTAAAATAATTAATGGCTGAGGCATGGAACAGCCAGTTCTTTGCTGAGTAAAAAGTGTAATGATTTAAAAGTTGAGGCCAGAATGTAACACAATCTATACCTAATATAAATACTTATAATAAAGCTGTAGAGTTTATTTGTTTGAACGCGCTAATCTCCGAAACTACTGGATCGAATCAAACAATTCTTTTTGTTTGTCCATTTATCGACAGGGCTATAGGTAGGCTATAAACAAGCCGAGCAGCGGGTGAAGCCGCAGGGCAGTAGCTAGTTTAAAAATAAATCCCCTAAAGAGTTTCTAAAAGGAAGTAGATAAATATTTACCCTGTAACCATTCTCTGACTGCGAGAACTTGTGAGCGGTGGGATCTGTGGTAAAAACAGCCGGTTCTCTTTCATCCGGGTATATGCAGGTGCTATGGCCCTTGCAGTACACTTTGATGGGCCGCCCGCTGCTTGCTCCTCCGCGAGCGTCTATCCAGTAGTATCCTGTGGAAGAGGTAAATGGCATTATTATTTAGGAGGTACCTATCGCTTTTTGCTCTTTTAAACCGACTCCCAAAAATATGAAATAATGAAGATATGGATGAAGCGTATACTTCATCATTATAATCATCAGCCTATTAGTGCTCACTGCTGAGCAAAGACCTCTTCTCATAAGGAGAAGGTTTGAGCATTAATCACCACGCTTGCTCAAGGCGGATTGGCGATTTCAAACTTATAATTCGAAATTATAAGTCCAGGTCAGTGTCTAAATAATCTTAGAAAGTAGGTACATATGACTCGAAAAAGGTCACATTGGTACTTGCCAGGTTTCGAACCCGCACCCTCATGCATGAGAAGCGGGCGCCTTAACCTCTGGGCCACCACGACACCACTTAAACTGGCCTATACTTCTATTGGCCTAACTCCGGAACCAGCTCTAAAATGTTACCAAAAATGGCAAAATTGTTGAGTTATTGAGCAACCTACTGAAGTCATTTTTGCGATATTTTATGCGTTTTCCAAGTGAAGTTAGAACCAACAATCGGACCAAACCAAGACTTAATGTATCATCAATCCATTTTATGTTTTATCAAGCTCTTGTTCTTACCATCAGTTAAATTGACGTGAGAGCTTCTGAGATCACGACAAGACAGTGCTGGATAACTCCTTGTCCCTCGAGGTCGTCTTGCTGCTTCCAGTGCACCACGAGCAGACAAAACGCCCGTCATTATTTCTTTGACCCATTCTATGTCTTCTTCTGTGGAAAGGTTTACAACTAGGTTAGTAAAAGGTTATAATTATTAAAACTCAATCAAGGTTTAAAACCTCCCATTGTAGGTAGGTACCTACTATTAAGGACACTTGTCTTTTAAAAAAAAACGTCGTAGGAGCATTAGGATTTTCTCCTGTGTCGTGGGTGCGGTTACAAACATACAATTTCACACACACATGAAAGAGTTTTTCCGTGCAGGAATCGAACCCGCGACACGTTGCCCAGCCACCGCACCAAACGTGCAGTCGAAGAAGAAGTTGACATGATTTTGATATCTAGATATTATTTCTTAATTTACTTCAGAGGAACCATGGATGGAGGATAGATTTCTCATTTTACTTACCTTCCTCAAAATTATCTTCAGTAACAGATTCCATAGATTCTACACTTCGACGTCGTCGAGTGTATGATGTGAATAGTTCAGCGGGTATTTGTGGGGCTGGAGCTGGGGGACCTGGCGGTCCAGGCGTTCCTGGTGGTCCAGGACTACCTGGCCTTCCCTCTGGTCCAGTAGAGCCCTTTGGTCCTAGTTGACCTTCAGGTCCAGGAGGTCCCACCGGCCCAGTGTCCCCTTTGGGTCCGGGAGGTCCAATAGGTCCCTGAAAATAATTATTATTATTCAGTTCCTGAGTAAAGTTGATAAGTGATTAGTGTAGTGTTAAATAATAAGTTACTAATTACCATATCACCCTTGGGACCCGAGGGTCCCATTGGACCTGGTAAGCCTTGTTTCCCAACTTCGCCTTGGTCTCCTTTCAGTCCCATCGGCCCAGTGTCACCAATGTGGCCCTTTGGACCTCTGCTCCCTTTTTCGCCTCGTATTCCTTGGTTACCAGGAGGACCAGCCTTGCCTGGAGGGCCAGCAGGCCCCATTATGCCTGGAGCTCCATTTTCACCCTGAAAATAATTAAATGTGCTCAAAAAATGTTTTTTGTTTACATTTCAACAATAATTTCATTTATTATTTATACTTACAATTGGACCGGGTAGCCCTCTTAAACCTCGTTGTCCTTCTGGCCCGGGTGGTCCAGGTGGTCCATTAGGTCCTTGTTCACCAGGAGGGCCTTTCGGACCCATATCACCCTTTTCTCCGGTTAATCCAGGGTTTCCTTGGGTACCCGCTGGGCCTTCTGTACCCTGCAAACGTTTATATCACATTATATGTATTAATTAATAAATATTAAATGAATTGAGGAATTATATTTTAAAAGCAATACTTTACCGGATTACCAGGCATGCCTGTTTCTCCAGGTTTTCCTGGTGGCCCTACTGGGCCTGGTGCTCCTGGTGGACCAGTGCTTCCTTCAGGCCCATCTGAACCGGGCTCACCCTTTATGCCTTGTGGTCCTGTTTCTCCGCGTTCGCCCGGAAAGCCAGCAGGTCCAGTGTTTCCTTTGGGACCTTCAGGCCCCGGTAGACCTTTTGGTCCAGGTTCTCCTTGTAGTCCAGGTAACCCGTCATCACCTTTTGGGCCCACTGGTCCCCTAGGTCCCTATAAACAATGTTTTTGTGAAATTAACCCAATTTTTGTCATTTTGTTCATTTATTTGAAATCATGCTAATTTACCAATTTCCCTTCAGGGCCTTGGACGCCTGGAGCTCCTGGTGGTCCAGGGCTTCCTATATCTCCTTGTTGTCCTTCAGCTCCACGGGGTCCAGGTTCACCTTGTACACCTTTCGCTCCTCTTCGTCCGGGCGGGCCAGTGGGACCGGCTGGGCCAGTTGCTCCTATAAAAAATCGTCGAGTCAATAAATAAAAGGATTTTTCACTAAAAATATATGCTTATTTGTATAATAGTTATTATTAAATTTCATCAATCAAAGTCACACCTAAAGCTCCAGGGTCTCCCATATCTCCTTTAAAGCCTTGTTGGCCTTTGATCCCTTGAAGTCCAGCTGGACCTGGTGGCCCAGGTGGGCCACGAACACCATCTGTCCCAGGTTGACCAGGAGGGCCTATGTCGCCAGGCGGGCCTTTATCACCTGGTAAACCAACCGGTCCTGCTTCTCCACGGAGCCCTTGTATACCAGGTGAACCAGGCGGCCCCTTTAGAAGGAAACAAAAAACTTTTTTAGTGCATCTTCATTCTAGTATCAAAAAATCAAGTGTCAACTGGCTGACGTGCAACGTGTCGCTGGTTCGATTCCCGCACGGAACAACTCTTTGTGTGATCCACAAATTGTTGTTTCGGGTCTGGATGTCCCAGACGGGTTTGTAACCGCACCCACGACACAGAAAAAAATCCTAGTGTGGTACAACTATTTTTTTTAAATATTTATTTTGTTACGTACCGATTCTCCCATGGCTCCTTTGAAACCCTTTTCTCCTGGTGGCCCTGCTTCTCCTTTGTCTCCATCTTCACCAGGTGGTCCGACTGGACCTGGGACTCCAGTTAAACCTCTTGGTCCAGGTAATCCGTCACGACCGATTGGTCCTAAATAACAAAATTTAAACATAAGTACTTCCATAGGAAATTCCATGTTGAATACCAGGAAAACATTTTATTTTTGTTATAAATAAGCTCAACCGTTCTCAATTATACAGTTGAAAGAAGTTTAGAATTGTTTTACCATGAACCTGAGTTCAGATCTTTTACATTATTATGTATATTTTTTATGTAATAGGTCGGCAAACGAGCAGACGGATTACCTGATGGTAAGCAATCAGCGTCGCCTATGGACAACGGAGGAGTTACGAGTGCGTTGCTGACCTTTTAGGGATTAGGGATTTCGGGATTTAGGAACTGGGTAGGGATTAGGGAAGGGGAAGGATTGGGCCTCCGGTAAACTCACTCACACGCCGAAACAACACTGTGGTTGTTTCACGCCGGTTTTCTGTGAGGCCGTGGTATCACTCCGGTTAAATATTAATGCATTCACAAAATTTGTAAGACCTTATTGGTGACTTGTTTATTTATTACTAACCTACTGGGCCCGGTTCACCAATTTCGCCCTTTTGTCCGCCTGGCCCTGGCGATCCTCGAGGGCCTTCACGGCCCTGCGGACCTTGGGGTCCTTCGTTACCAGTTTCACCAGGTTCTCCTTTATCGCCTCTAATTCCTGGTGGACCGGGTGGCCCTAAATCGCCTTTAGCCCCTGGTATTCCCTATAAAAACATACACTTAACAAAATGTATATTTGTATATTTATGAACGCAATGCATATGCATACTAAATTAGTTTTTTTACATGGCAGAGAGACATTGACATATTTAATTTTATAAATTATGTTTATACTCACAATTGCGCCTGGCAATCCAGGTTCGCCGTTGTTCCCAGGTGGTCCCGGTGATCCAACTGGTCCTGGTTTTCCTTCAGGGCCAGGTGGTCCTGGAGGACCTTCCTTCCCTACTTCTCCTGGAGTGCCGACGTCGCCAGGAGTCCCTGGTATGCCTGAAGCACCAGGTGGACCTGGTGGGCCAGGTTCACCATTTGGACCTTGTGGGCCAACAGGGCCTGAGGGTCCTGTTAAGCCTGTAGCACCCGGTTCACCCTTAAAGAATATAAGAAATATATTTAAAGAATGGTATGAGGCAGCTGTTTCGTGGTATTTCTTAAATGCACTTGTTCGATTTATTTTAAACAAGGCATGTTTTTTTTCTTTATTACACCAAAAGTTGCAATTATTATTACTAACCGTAGGTCCTCTTTCTCCCGGTGGGCCAGGCAAGCCAGCTTTTCCATCAGGCCCAGGGGGTCCCATCGCACCAGGAAAACCTCGTACTCCTTCCAATCCCTGTGGTCCTCTCTCACCTGTTGCTCCCGGAGGACCTGGTTGACCTGTATCTCCTTTGGGTCCAGGAGGTCCATCTGAACCTCTACGGCCACGTGGACCTCTATAACCCTAGAATGAATTAAACGAATTAGTTGGAGAATTCAGTTTTATGGCATTGCAAGTTTTCTTTTTGTTATAAATACTCACCCTTGGTCCAGTTTCACCCCGATCTCCTTGTTGGCCCACTAAACCCTGCGATGAAAACACAACAGTTCGTTACATATTTTACATATTTTTCCTGCAAATACAATATAATTGTTAGCAAAGTGGAAGTCTTTACCATTAATCCTTTTGTGCCCCGTCTGCCTCTCCGTCCAGATGCTCCTTTATCTCCTTTTTCACCTTGACTGCCTGGGTATCCTTGTGGTCCTTGAGCCCCAGACGCACCTTTCTCACCAGCTGGACCAATTGGACCAGTTTCCCCTCTTGGTCCTTCTACACCCTATAATACAGATTACACTACTTATTTAACACTCGAATATGTTTTTTTTAGAAATATCATATTTTAGAAAATGTGTATCCATAATTGATTTCATAGTCAACTGAGTTTGTTTCGTACCTTTTGTCCTTCAGGGCCTTCGATTCCTGGAGGACCAGGTTCTCCCACTAGTCCTCGCTCTCCTTTTGGTCCCATATCTCCTTTTTCTCCTTCGATACCTAATAAATAAAGAAATATCTTAAATTTTGTTCACTCACTTTAACAGAATCGTGCCACTACTAGCTATTTAATGATGAAAAATGTTTGAAAAATTATTTACTAAGTTCCCAAGTTTGGCATCTGGTTTAAATCAATTAACGTACCTCTTATACCCTTGTCTCCTTTATCACCAGGTAAGCCACGAGGCCCTTCATCTCCTTTCAAACCTCGACTTCCAGGAAATCCGAGCATACCCTGCAAATTGTTTAACCATATTGATACTGTTTTCTTTAGATATAAGTATAGTCATATTTTTATACCAACCTGAGGACCTTGTGGGCCTACGTCGCCTGGTGGTCCTTGTTGTCCTGGGTTGCCGGGTGTACCTGGAGAACCTTCTGGACCAGGTAGTCCTGAAATTCCTGGTTTCCCTTGGGGACCCTGCAAAATATTACAACACATTATTACATAATATATTAATAATGTCGACAAAAGTGTCGAGTTGTAAGTTAATTTAAATGACAAATATTTCTATTTTATTTTTAATTTCAAAGTTTACCTGTATTCCTGGAGCTCCAGTAGGGCCTTGTGGGCCGGGTGAGCCCGGAGAGCCAATCGTTCCAGGTTGTCCAGGTGGACCTGGGGCACCTGGTTGACCAGTGGCACCTTTGGTTCCGTGTGGCCCTTCAAGACCAGGTGTACCTGGATAACCTATAAGTCCTGGAAAACCTCTTGGCCCCATAAAACCACGAGGTCCCTGAAAAAAAGGAAATCAATTATATTTCTCTTAACAATATTATACTGTCATTTTCAAAAGTTGTCTTAATTACCAGTTCTCCAGGGATTCCTGGTGGTCCAGGAGGACCATCATCTCCCGGTGGTCCATCTTGACCTGGTGCACCTGGTTCGCCCTGCAAGCCTGCACTACCTCGTTCTCCTTTGTCACCAGGCATACCGGGCTGGCCCGGGTAGCCTTGCTCGCCTTTCGTTCCAGGAGCTCCTGGGGATCCTCTTTCTCCATCCCTTCCTGCGTGGCCTCGCCGTCCTAATCTGCCAGGAGGGCCTTGTAAGCCTCGTGGGCCTGGCTGACCCTGGCAAAAACGATGTTCAAATCAAAATGGTATAATGAAATTAAGTAATTGTAACATAAAAATATTAATTGTAACTTACGGGTTCCCCTTGTTCTCCTTGCTCTCCTTTAGGTCCTTCAGGACCAATGTCACCTTCCGGTCCTGGTGGACCAGTAAGACCCATTGGACCTTCTGCACCTCTCATTGCAGCCTAAAAATTATTATTTTGTTTATAATACAGATAGATTTTATAATGTCTGATGCCCAATTTATCATATTTGAAATGACGTACCATGTGTTGTGAGAACATTTGTCGAAGAGCTTCCGATTGAGCATCAGGACCTTTATCAGTTCCTGATTGTTGTAGCTGAAAATAATGAGTGTTATTTGAGACAGTCTTATACATATACAGAAACGTCAACAACGATTTATTGTAATTTTATAAACTTACTAACAGTTTATGAACGATTTTTTATAATTTGGAACAACTTTTCGCAGTGACTAGTTCACAAAATGCTCAACAGATGGCGTTAAACGATATAACATAATCAACAATAATTTTCAGTAGATACTTACGGGAATTACAAAAACATTGCCAGGCGGTCCTGGAAATCCTTGTGAACCTTCAAAGCCTGGTTTACCCGGTTCTCCCTTAGGACCTCTTGGCCCTTGCGGACCAGGTGGACCAGGATATCCACGGGGACCCATGTAAGTACCAGAACTGCCGTAGTCGTAATAGGTCTCTGATGAATCATAATTTGTTGTTGAATTGCCCTAGAATTTAAAAGTAAATAATTTATATATTATAACGATTGCTGAGTTGACAAAAATATATTCATCGAAAACCTTTTTATATTCGTACCATTGTACAAAACACAACATTAAAAAATATTAAAACGTGTACGTTATCTTACTTCGTAAACTTCCGGTGGATGTGTGAGCCAATCTGAATCTTCTGTAGTTGTCATAGGGCTGTATGTTGTCTCTGTCACAGCTAGGGTTGTCGCAGACCCATCCGCTTCATCATCGTCCCCTCGTTTAGACTGGAACCAGATACGTTGCGGTAATCATGTCACATGTCATAAAAACATGATAATTCCATTAAAAAGCCCTTTTAATGTTGAGGTGTGCCGTCAAAATAATACAAAAAAACGTTGTAAGCACCACATAAATGCGTCGTTCATTAAAATTGACAAGACAAACCCTATTTGAGTTATCTCTCGATTTCCGAAGTATTTTTGTTTGGTAAGTCCACAATATTGCGATTCAATTTATTTTTAATTACAGTTTTAATTGTATTTGGCTGATTATGTTTGACTTACTCTTTGAGTCGTCTGATCTAAAGAGTCCACGGGTTCAAAGGGTTCAACAGGTTCGTTTTCATAAGGAGTCTGCGACGGTGAGGGCGGCAGGTACTCATTATCATCCGTGAATCGACCGAAAATGCTGTTTTCATCTGAAACAAATTGTTGAGCTTTTAAAAACAGATACTAGTACTTGAATCATATTTGAATGAAAGTAACGTGTATGTATTTGATACCTGAATCCGTTGGCGAGAATTGGTTTGCGATTGGGAACGAATTGGAGATTTGCCACGAGGGTTGGGGTTCTGGCGTGGTTACTTCTCTAGCAGGCCAAGGATTATCAGAGTCATTTCTATCAAACCGCTCAGTGCCGTAGCTGCCGTACCTCCTTCGTACAACATCGTCTGTCATTGTTCTTTCTGTGGGTTGTGGTGGTGGTTCTACATACAGTATTGGTTTAATTTCTGGTTCAATGATTGTCGCTGATATTTGTGGCGTGGGAATGTACGGTAGGCCCGGTCCTCCTTCACAGTCCGGAGCTGTTGATATACACATGTCATAGGCTGCATCTGGCTTGCTGGCGAATTGAAGTAGTTCGATTTCACCCTAAAAAAATAAGCTTCGATAAGAAAATTATCGTAATCGACAACGCGTTTTCGTATTCCACTCTGATTCTTTATAACTTTGATGGACATAGCGTGCATAGTTTTTTTTCATAATTCTTAATGATATTTTAAAGTGCCTTTCATTAGCGCAGAACTGTCTATTAGTAGCGATGCATCATTTAAGTCACTCCTGATAACTGATTATTTGCGTCCGACGCTATAAGACGGTCATAAATCAATATAGCAACGTTGTAATGGTCCTAGAAAAGTTCAGTAGCAATAATCATTATCGCTTTAAAAACATAACAAATATACGGAAAATCATTTGATGACCACGCGATTCAACAACTTTCAGGTACTTGTCTATCTCCTTATATTTTTATCTATTTTGTTACCTTTCAAAAGCGATAATGATTATCTATACAGAACTAAGCTAGAGCTAAGGCTAGAGCACTTAGTCATAAGCGGACAAACGAGTGGTAGTAGGTTTTTTGATTTTGGAAATGATGTATGGCGAGAGGCTCGATAGGATTCAGGTATAGCGTAACTGACTTAAACTATTCCTTAGTACCGATTTTGTTCCGAAAACAGTTGCTGTGAACAGTTGAGTAACGATTACATAACTCTGAGTGCGAAGGTAAATACAATTAATTACTGCTATCTTCAAGCGTTAAAAGTGAAATTTATTAAGACTACCTACTTGCTTTTAATTAATAACTACAGACACAGATTATTCAATTCGTTAATTGTGTCAATCGAATCGAAAATGCGAATCGTTTTAGTCCTTTTTATTAAGTAAATGAAGTTATTTCATGATAATTAATGTAAAGCACTCCAGGGAGCGACTAAACTGTGATTTTAGAGAAAGAATAAAAGTTTATTTAAAGAATTAGATTAAGTAAGCGCCTCTTTGTAAAATGTAAAATGAATTGCCTTCGAATGGAATGTCCATTTTATTTTTTTGTTGTGTTTTTCTGTCATAAGACTTGTTCGCAACATATTTATATAAAAAATTGCTAATAAAATGGTATTTGATAGCTAGTCAAATTCCATGGTAATATTAGAAAAAAATGAAACAGTGCTTATACATAATATGGATCTCGATGGAAGTGGACAAGTCAAAAGAATTCTGGTCATAGATTTTGTGGCTGGGCAAAAGCTGCCGTGTCACGTATCGCGGATTCGATTCCCGCACGCAACAATGTTTCTAGAAGAACTTAGGAGCTGTTATAAGGTTTCTACGTCCACTTACCTCATAGTACTGGTCCGGAGTGATCTGTGAGCCCACAACTAATGCCCCAGCGAGGTTGAATGTGCTGCCAGGTTGGCGATTCAATCGCAATGTCTCCTTCATTTCACAATCCACCAAAAGAGTCGCCGAGTCGCCCTTGATGCTGACAGCGATGCGATGCCACCTAAATAAAAGAACAATTTCATTTAATCAAAAGTTTCAGAATGTATGTAGGTAGCCAGCTTCCCTTCCTTGGATTTTAAAAAACAGCAGCGTTAATCCTCTTGTCTGCCGTTATATGACAAACAATAGAAAACACATTATCAATATTAAACCACGGGTACGTATAATTTGTAGCCTATAGCACCCAAGAACATTGTAGCTTGGTTCTTACTCCATGGTAGCTATCTAGCAGTGAACGAATTTTAGAAATCCGACCAGCGGTTCCAGTAATTACACCCAAAATTCAAACTTACAAATTTTACCTCTTTGTAATAGGTAGTAAGTACTTATAGCACCGATTGGACGTGCATAACTTCAGAACGACTGTAGTAAATCCGGGAACTCATTATCATTTCTGGTAGTACATGGTTTGTATGTACGAAAACTGCAGTAATATTAATGCAGCGTCAATTCGAACTGTTAAAGATTGCAAACGAGATTGAAAACGGAGATTCTAAGGTACATACTTTTTATCCATATAAGTTCCCTAAGATGCTCTTTACAAGGTCCTTGATCCAGCCAACCTAATTATTAGATAGTAGTTTTAACTTAAAATTATTAATACGACGGGTAAAGGCTCTCAGAATCAAATTGATACCCCCAGCATGCGGTTGACTGCACTTTGCAAATTAGGGTTGTTAAATAGATTACTGTCCTTATTGGCCACATTTGATAGTTAACCCTGTCAAGGGCATTCCTTCATGGATAATCATTAATAGTCTATAAGAGTTCACTATTAAACTATGGGCTTTTTCTATAAACGAGGGGTTTCTCAAAATAACTATGGGGGTTGCTGGTGCAAGCGTAATAAGGGCCTGGAATAGGAGAAGGAACGCGTTGTTGTTGTTTTAGTCAGTAAGAGTCTAACATTCCCTCCCGCCTTAGTCAGAGCGAGAAAGAGAGAGAGAGAGAGAGAGAGAGAGAGAGAGAGAGAGAAGTCATTTGTTAATATTTCCCTTCAAAAAAGGGTGTGCTGAGACAGTTCATCACAATCGAATCATTGAGACAGTTCATCAAAAATACCTATAGTAACGATGGAGTTTATAGCTCGTTCTTCTCCATTCGAATCTACAATTTGGAATGAGCACCTAGCTTCACTGACGAACAGACTGACAGACTACTATTCTATTTTGACGTTTCAAAAGTACTTATTTATGGTTTAGTTGGAATATTTTGATTTTATCAGATAGCACTGCTGTCCAGTCTTTGGTAAGTAAATGATTCCTTAATCAGCAGGGGTTGTTCTCTACTGTCACCACAAGGCAAACTTGCTACTTACATGCGGACATTTCTTTTTTTTACAAATAATTACGTCATTAATGTCGTCCAGACTTGTTCGTTTCGGATTCATGGCGCGAACACGTTAATGGGCTGACGAGGGGTCGTGTAAATGGCGGGAGTGTGCGCGTCATAGTACAATTTCGATTGAGCCATTCATTTCGCTATTTACGACGCTCGATAGAGTTAGTTTTGTTAGTTTAGTATTAGGGATTATGTGGAACGAGAGTTTTAAAGTTATCAATATGATATATCATTTTATTTTACCTTCATATTAGATTAATAAATTATATCAGAGCGGGGTGCTTCATTCTGAAAAGGTCGCGTACCCCGTCGTTAATTACTTTCGGAACTTAAACCTAAAATCGAAGTAATTATTTTATTTCCATGCTATTTCAGTTATAGAACTAGTTGTAAGCTCATCGCAATAAACCTTTATGTGATAGGTCCGCAAATGATTAGACGTATTACCTGATGGTAAGCAATCAGCACCCCCATGGACACCCGTAACATCAGAGGAGTAACAAATGCGCTGTCCTGTGGCTCTGTCAGCCTTTTGGAAGTCATTGTTTCGGAGATTTAGTGATTAGGGAGAGAAAGGATTGGGCCTCCGGTGTGGTCACCGGAGGCCGACTGATGTGGTCATCGCCGCGGCGAATCACAACGTTGTAAACGTTTCACGCTGGTTTTCTGTGAGGCCGTGGTAACACTCCGGCTGAGCCGACCCATTGGTACTGAAGCTTAGCTCTCTTACCCTTGAAACTGAATGAATAGTTTTTATAATCAGGCTATTTTTTTAAATGAAATTAATAAAATTGGACGCGATCGATATTTATAAACACATAAATATATACATTTAGATTAAGTTGATAATACAAAACTTTACGTACTTTTTGATACCCCATGAAAACATTTGTCGAAGTTATTTTTCATTAGATAGATTAATACAAAGTTTTCGGTAGCTGTTATATAAAAAAATATATATCTCATTGAACAACTTTTTGGCCGACTTGTTACTTTGAAGTTTGGACCGATTGAAATACTTTTGGAATCGAAATTAGTCTCACGGTTTGTTTTTAATGAATGTTCTTTATAATATTATACGAGTACAGAAAAAACATGTATTGTTTTAATATTTTCTATGGGTAAGCGTTTGTTTTTGTTATAATAAAAATGCTGCTTTTACTTTTTAATTAAACTTCGAACTCCACTATATTTTCCTCAAAGAGCCAATAGACCACCACAGCTGGGGCCAACAAGAACGGGCGTTCTGCCGGGATCGCGAGGCAAGCCTTATAGATACGTCAGCTTCGTCCTGGACCAGGAGAAGGTACGGGGGTTTTTAGTCAGTAAGAATCTGACACTCATTCAGAAGTCATTTGTTTGATTTCCCCCTCACAAAATAATATATATTTCCTAACAGGAATATGTAACGTATTCCCAAGTATCCATTAAAATCAATTATCAATTAATTTAGTACGAGATTGTGTGATTTGACGTCATGGATTTTTTTTGCGATAAATAGTATTAAGTACCTATTAAGAATATTTATAGTACTTTCAATGAATTACTAATGTAAACAGAGTTATTATTTTTAATTTTTAAATTGAATTCTTCTTCATACAAAAAAGAAGTTCATAGAAAATGGTGGACTTAAATATCTTAAGGTTTTCTCTAACAATTATCAATGATATAGGATGGTGAAGAGAAATTAAGCGAATGGTGAAAAATCTTCACGAAATTTTATGAGAATGATAACTAAAAGTAAGTTGCTAAAGGAAATCGCATAATGTGTTATGTAAAATGAAAATTCAAGATTTGAACTTACGCCTACAAACATTATTTGTGAGTATAATTATTCTTTGTCACGTTCAAACACTATTAAACTGCACCAAAATGACTTCATCTATTCATTGTAGGTAATATTACACGTCTTAAGTCAAGGGCAACCTACCTTCCATCAGCGATATCCACTCGGTACGTAAGGAGTTCATGGTCGGCCGGATCTCCCCTTGTATCTTCGTAGTACAATTCTATTAAGTTACCGACCACTAGCTGCAACTGTTCATCTCCAGCATCCGAGTATAGGATAAATAGTGGGTTCTGTTCCGTTCCTGTTTTAGAAATATTTTTTTTATAACAAACACGTTATTTGAGCTAAATATTATATATAAAAATATAAAAGTAACAATTTTATTCTTTTTTATTTTAAATCTGTAGCACTACTTGCTACGCTGTAGCGCTACGCATAGTGTCGCGTAGCAAAAGTTACTGAAACGTGGTCTTTTGAAAATAGACCGTATTTCAAATAGTAGTAACTATCTTATGTCTATTGGATGCGTAATATGGTTAATTTTGAAATAAATTGTGTGTAAGTGCAAATTCTCAATTAGAATAGTCAAAACAAAACAATTTCTGTTTTATAAAATGAACACACAAATTCTGTGTAAAGCAAATGCCTTTCGTTATTATTACACTGTTGTGTATTGTTGTACGATTTGAAGTGCCGCTGTAATGTGACCGTTTAGACCCTCTTAATAGTCGGAAAGCCGGAAAATCTCAGAGAAAAAGGTGTTTATGCTGCTTAAAGTACACCCCGAGAGGCGTTTAGATAGGTGAAGGAAACTGTTCTTGTCTTTCAGTAGAAAATATTTAAATGTTTTTAGTACCTGGTAGTCGAACTACAGCCATTATTGAGAAATCTTCGGGGAAAGTGTTGTAGAACATCCCAGCGGCAAGTCGGTGCATAGTGGCATTTTCATTTAGGGCGAAGGCTGTGTAGTCGGAGTAGTTCTCTAGGGGGGACTGGCACCGCCCCGGGACGCGAGTGATCCCCTCAGGGAGCTCATCGCTGTCCCTAACCAGAGACAAAACGTCGAAATATTCCGTCTCATCTGAAAAATGTACATTACAATTCTTTACCCACACAATACAAGCGACGGTCCCAAGAGACGGACTGGTGTAGTGCGATGTCGATAACTCTGACCTAATCCAGTTGACCGCCCCTTCAATAACTTCGACTCCCCAGAGGTCCATTCCCCTGATCTCACTATCACTTACACTTACAACTTTTTACTAGCATTTATTTATGGATCTGCTCTGTTTCACGATGAGGTGCCAACAACTATATTTCGCTAAATTGTATGCGTAGTCATGCATCTCAATATAGAAATAAAAGTATTTAAACTAAAGGAATAATATTTACTCACCGTCCCCGCTGCTCCCGCCGAGTGCGCAAAACAATAAAAGGAGAAATAGTCCTTTTGTCTGTGGAGCCATTGCGGCCCGAATAAATATGATCGGTGGTTTATATTTACATTCGGTCCCATCCCGGAGGGCGCGTGAAGGAGTGCGTTACTTAGAGGCTGTGGGGAGTATCAGCCTCTGGACTCTGGGCGTCCTCGCGGGCCCGGCGGGACATGTCGGCTTGCCAGCGCCGGCGGTGACGATACTGAGCCTCCGAGCCGTCGCCGCACCACATCACATCGCGACCCAGCTTTATTGCATTGGTGTCAAAATAATGAACGCTAATGAAACGGCAGAGATAGTAAACCGCGTCCGGACAATAGTATCTGAATAATCTATTAGTTATTTATTTTATTGCTATTTATTGCAGCAACGTAATTGACTGCTCTGTTCCCTTAGTTTACTTGTTGGGTTTGTAATAGAAACGAAACTGCCAAAAATATGTTGAAAGCAAACTTCATACGAATCAATTTAATGGACGTAAACAAAGCCGACAAATATTGTGCGTTGACTGTTTACTTTTGTAAAATGTTGTCGTCGCCTGCTTTGCTTATATTGATCAAATTCAATTCGCCTCTATCGGCTTCTTAATAGAGATTCATTTGTTTTGTGAGTAGAGAAACCGTTTTATGAGTACCTATGTATGTTGATCGAGTACTAAAATAGTGATGTCGTTGTACTGTAAGTTGTAATAAAACATAGTTTTATAGAATTCATCTAATGATATCTTCTTTTTATGTCTCTCCCTGGGAACAGCCAAAATTGACTTTACGAAGATGAAGATGAAGATATTTGTGTTAGTTTCAGCGGTAAACTGGCTCTACGTGTGGGAGCAGAGCATAGGGTTTTCGGTTTAAACCTAGGTTCGGGTAAAATATATGTACCTATATAAGTATTAATTTCACAATTTTAATATACTTATGTAAATTATTCGTAAAATATATAGATTAAAAGTTTATATAGATGTTGCCATTCGTTGTTTCTATTTGAAAAGACCCTCAACGTGTTATGTAAGTAATTTGTCTAATTTAAGATTACATTTAAAGGCGTATTTTGTTACACCTTCACACATCCTCGAAATGTCGAGATAGCGTTGTTATTGAACACATTTAAGAAGATGATACTTGATATAAGTTACCACATTGCTCCTACCAAAACTACAATAAGAAGGTGCTTACACATTTAATTACGTAAACATCTAAGAGATGTTTCAGTTCTCAGGTTTCACTTCTTAACCATTTAATGATAACAGTTTCGTATTGTTTTGCTAATACTTAATTTGCATATTTTAGGTACCTAAATCTAGTATGCTTATCTTTCTTCAAAGCGTTTATTTTAGTAGTCATTTTTGTTTAGTTGGTTTATTTTAGTAGGTAATCTTTTTGTGTCTCCTTTTTTCAGTAAGTTTATATTGTCGATTTTATGAAATAAAAAAGTGCACCTTTATTACCTTTGCGATACTTACACCCGGTTTCCGAAAGGCCGATCAATGTTAAAATCAATTTAATCTCTTGTCAAGTCATCTGATTGGTTGACTGAATTATCAACAACCAATCAGATGACTTGACAAGAGATTTAACAGGAGATTAGTTAATTTTAGCGTTGACAAGCCTTTCAGAAACGGGGTGTAATTATTGTATTTTTATAAGAAACTAGCTGTGCCCGCGACTTCGTTCGCGTGGTTGTCGAAAACAAAACAAATCGTTTAGATAACAGTAGGCTACATACATATAAACTCCACTCAAGAATATTTAAAATATTTTTTTGCTATTTAAGATCCTGACTGTAGTATAGATTTATTTAGTAATTTGGTATAGCTGATTACGTTAATGCTTCCCTATATACTATATTAGAGGTGGAATTACCCGGAGCATATACAAAAAGGTTGTTTGGGTTGCTCACACTTGATAGAGAAACATAGAGTTGGCCGTGTGAAAAACAATCAAAAGTAAGGTCTACACCAGCAACGGACAATGTCTGGTCTTGGGCTTTATTAATAGTCATGGCGTAACAGAGGCTTACAGGGAATTGCACACGTTTGAAAGTAAACGGAAAATTATTGGGGATAATGGGTATCCTGGGAATGAAAACAACATTACCAGAGCCGCAACCTGTTAAAATTTCAGCTTCGATGACATTTCGTTGGAGACTTGTTCTCTCAGCCGTGTACCATTACAAAGTTTTGGAGGACTTAAATTTCTGAGTACAATAATTGGTAGTCCGACTTTTAAACAAATTTTGTGTGCTGGAACACCTGGTGTATTTAGAGAGTCTAAAAACTCTACTGGGTGGCATCTCCTTCCTCCTGAATATTCCCTACTTTCTTCAGAAACACGTACCAATATTTGAGAATTGATTGCTGCTGCTTGGTCATTGCGAGGTACCAAAATAGCTCGTTGGCATAGCCAAGCAAGCGTGGTTGGAGATATCTGATGGATCTCCGTATACGGACGAAATGAGTTCTTGCTATGAGGCAACAGAAGAACAGCTTCTTGAGTCGGGTATGTACCGGTCCCAATTTGAAGTAGTAAATTTGAGAAGACCTGCGCGTTTGCGTCACCTCCCAAATAAGCTCGCATATTAAAGCCCAAATTTAATGATACGATACTACGCCATAAAAAAGAGCTCTTTAAACGTGCACCTATTTTATCGGCCCTCGTTCCTCTGGGTATTATAGCGAGTGTCTGCCTAAAGTCTCCGCAGAATAGCACCGTCAAGCCTGCCATCGGTCGATCATTTGTCTTATATCTCGCGACGTTCTATCTACAGCGTCCATAACTTTATCACTATTGGTATTTTAAATGTTTTATTTGCAGTTTTTCCTCCTGGCAATAAAGTGGCTGCAATTCCTGAGGAGGCCACGGCAAGGGCAATTTTGTTTTGGCTCCTTATTTGAGCCAAGATAACTTTGCTGAGGAAAGTTTTACCTGTTCCACCAGGTGCATCTAAAAACAGTATTTCTCCTAAAGAATTTTCTACACTACAGCATACCCTTTCAAATATTTGACGCTATTCTGACGTCATATTTGAACAGCCATTTAGCACTTTTTCTGCTAACTCCTAAGGGTTGTAATTTATTACCGATGCATACTCCCTATTCATTGGTTTCCCACCAGCTGTCGGCGTTAGCAAGCCTTATTGACTGAGAAGGTTCCCTCCTATACTTATAACTATATCTTGTATAGCTAGCAAAGACTTATTATGTCAGTTTTCCCGTACTTGGTCAGAAGTTTCTCTATGACTATTTTCCTGTCTGAAGAACTTAAGCGCGATTCCCTTTCGGTGAAAGTCTTTGACTCGCGTGAGAGGGCGTGACGCTCTCAAACAGCTGACAGCCGTACTTCGCATTCCTCAATGCTCTCCTAAGACCGCAAAGTTACGGTCCGTGTTCTTGGTAAACTTAAGCGTGACTCAATTTCAGTGAAATTTTCAGATTCACGTGAAAGAGCGACGCTCTCTCGGCTAGCAGATAACCGTGCTTCACGATCTCCTTCTGATTCCTGAGACCTACTAAGTCTCATCCTCTATCAGCATTAGTTCTATTTTTTAGTCTTAAGATGTCGTTGCAAGTACTATACCGAAATGCGTGTTGTAATATTTTACTTCTTGAACTCACTAAATTAATCATATCTTCTGCTAGAGTGAACCGATTTCGATGAAACAAAAACTAAGTTACACCTCAAGTTGTGTAGAATTTTTGTATATAAGCATTGTCTGCATTGAATTCGTAGATTTTACGTGATGCGCGCACAAACAAACATATAAACAGACAAACAGACAAACAGACAAACAGACAAAAATGACAAAAATTACGAAAATGGGTTCGGTTAGTTATCCTTTAACACGCTGGCTATTTTTTTTATCAATTTCTTAAATGTACAAAAATTACTTTTCTACAGATTTATTATATGTATAGATATAGATAAGTCTTGTATATCATAATTGTCATAATCAAAGTTTGTTCAACATTTATGTAAAACTGTAATTTTGGAACATTCTAAATAAGTACCTACTGAAAAAATAATTTAATATCTTAAGGGTTTTAACCAGATTTTAATGAACAACTTAGTAACTTACATAGCTAGCTAGGAATTTTACTACTTCGACCATAGTTACTTATAAGTTAGCTGTGAACTTAGAACAAGTAACTGATGGGAAAGATAATACCCATGACACATGGTGACGACAAAACAACGAACTGAAGTTTGCCTCATTACACATTACTTAGAATACAGTAATTCATTCTTGGTACATTTATCACGAAACTTATTTCTAACTATGTTCCACATAGTTCTTTGAAGCAAGTTAGTTTGGTGGGACAAAATGGCTGTGTCTTTCTTTGTAATTGTATTATAATTGTTACGATTGTTACCTACTTTCCAACCTAGCATGTTAATTTTTTTATAAAAGGTATAAGTCACCAAATGACCAGAAGGATTACCTGATGGTAAGCATTTGGCGCCACCCAAGGACACAGGGTATTGCCAGTGTGTGTGTGTCAAAGTGCCAAAGGAGTTACGAGTGCGTTGCCGGCCGTTTGGGGATGAGGGTTTCAGATATTTAAGGATTGGGAAGGCATGGAGGAGGGGGAGAGATTGGGCCTTCCGTAACTTCACTCAAATGGCGTAACACAACGATGTCGTTGTTTCACGCCGATGAACTTTTTCCTGGTTGAAAGTCCCATTTACACGATGCAAGTTTACAATTAATTAAGGCGAGAATTGACTTTACCTAGTAGTCAATGTAAAAGAGTCTTAACGCTCTTAAATACAATTGTTGTTCTTGTACAAGAAAATAGTATCGTTTAAAAGAGCCTTTAGTTTAAATTTATTGAAAATAAACGACTTATTCGCGTGAAGAAACTGAGAAAGTAGTTGCGACGCTCATGATTATAACAAGAGTCCCGTTGTGACTTGAAAGTAGTAGAGCTGTTTTCAATTTATTCACCTAAGTCGTTATCTATCTATAATATTATAAAGAGGTAAAATTTGTAAGTTGTAAGTTTGTATGTAGGGGGTAATTTTTGGTACCGCTGGTCGGATTGCCAAAATTCTTTCACTGATAGATAGCTACAATGTTTCTGAGTGCTATAGGCTTTAAAACATCACGCTACGATTAAGTGAAGTCGAGCAGCGGGTGAATAGCTAGTTATCATTAAATTAAGTTTGTCCCCTAATAGTTACTAAGTATTCAAAAAATGCTTTTAGCTTCTTTGTATAAGTGTTAGCTTTACTAGCTAGCACATTTTTTTATTATCTATCTTTCTGACATTTTGTCCCTAAAAAAAACTCATGCCCTGCCACTCATTTTTGATGATCTCCTAAACAAGATAGTCAATACGTTAACATTAAAAAAAACTAGTTCGTAATAGTACCCAATGAACGTTTAATCTTTGACATATGACGAATTAGGTACTGCTAACATAGATACAAAATTAATTTGTTAGCTTTATTGAACTTTATTGGAAGGCTAGACTGCGTTATGTAAATATACCCACTCTACATATATTCAGAGTAGGTAACTATAACATATCGCATTACATTATCAGCCTATTTGTCCACTCACAGGTCGATGATACGATCCCGAGCATATGACTCGTAGCGATAC